ACACACACACACACACACACACACACACACACACACACACACACACATCCTTATTTCCCCACTCCGTCAGGCTCTGGGCTCTGGTCCAGGGTGACAGCCACTGAGGGTGATTCAGCAGGTGAAAGACGGGGAGAGAAAGGAGAGTGTGTGTGTGCATGATGGCTCCATCAGCATGTGAGCAGATCTGTGTGTTTGAGTGTGAGCACGTGAAAGTGTCAAAAGATCATAGGTCTTCAAGTCGTGTAAGGGACCTCAGACAGTCATTAGACCAATATCTCCACTCTCTACCTGGGGCTCAGATGAGTAAAATGATTTGCCTAGGCCATGGAGTGAGTCAATCTCTGAGCCAGGATTCAAATCCAGGGCCTTGGATGCCAGTGTTGTGACCACTCTTACTCCCCTGCGTCTTCAGGCTGCCTGGGTGCATCTGTGTGTGCTGCTGCTTATCCACGTTATCATTATGCGTGTGTGAGAGAAGCTCCGTGGTTGCCACTGACCGCATGTGGGTAGGGCAGTGGGGGTTGGTCCCTGAGGAGGGGATGTGCCAGTGGGACCTCTGTCACCAGCATAGCCACTTGACCCTTCATTTCATAAAGCTCAGGGGACACAGAGCTAGACAGGGCAGCACACACAGCCAACATAGCTCAAGGAAGTCACAAACCAAACATTCAACAGACAGTGACTGTCCCTGTCTTTCCTCCCCAATCTCAGAGATTATCTGCTGGGGGGTGAGACCTTAGGGACTGGCAGAGACAGGTCCTTACTCCCTGGAGGGGAGAAGTGAGCCTCCTAAGTCCTGGGTTCTAGTTCAGTGCACCATCCTGCTGGTGTGATCTTGGGCACTGTCCCCCTCTATACCTAAGACCTCGAAAGAAAGGGGGCATCAGGGGCAAAAATTTATCCTAGGTCTACATAGCATGAATGCCACCAGAAACCTGAATCCAAACACTCTCATTTTACAGATGGGGAAACTGAGGCCCAAGGGGTGGGGGGGGGAAGTGGGGGGAAGAGATTTGCCCAAAGTCACACAGCCAATTAGTGGCAGAGCAAGGTCTCCTGCTCAGCCCAGAGTTCTTTCCACAGCCCCATGCTGCCTCTCTGTACCCAGCTCCTTTATGCCCCCATTCCCCAGGGACATGCCTCAGTCGTGGAAGAGAAAGCTGCTGTCTCAGCCCTGGCTGTCTTCTAATTCCTGCCCCCCAAGGATAGTGGGGAGAGCCAGCATATTCAGGAGCTGAAAGTGGGTCAGCATCAGCTCTGCGTAGTGCTCTCTCTTCAACGCTTGGGAGAGAGAGAAGGAAAAGGGGAGGGGACTGCCCCTTCAGGACAATGGGCTCTGTCTTCTAACTCATCTCTTTTGCAGTCTCAGTCTCCCCAGCACCCCCATCTCCATCCGCTTTTCTCTTTCTCCCCTGTCTGTCTCCCTTCGTCCTTCTGCCCCTTCAGTCTCTGTCTTTATCTTTCTGTACTGCCAACTTTGGGATTTTGTTCTCTTTCTCCATCACCCCCTCTGTCTTCTTCCATCTCTCTCCATCTTTCTTCATCTTACTCATCTTGTTTGCTTCTCCGTGCCTGGCTGTCCTGTACCTCCAGCTGTCAGTCTCCCCCTGTATCCATCCCTCTTCCCTTCCCGAGCCTTTCTTCATCTTTATGTCTTTCCCTGTCTCCGTCGCTCCTCAATCTGTCCCTTTCCATCTTATCTCACTGCATTTTTTTCTCTTGCTGTCTCAAACTATGTCCCTCTCTGTCTGTCTCTGTCTCCATGTCTTTGACTCTTTCCATGTTTGCCTTTCCCTGTACCTCCCTCTCTAAGTGTCTCTTGCTTTCTTCATTTTTTTCCTTTTCTCTCTGTCCCTGTCTCTGTCTCTGTCTGTCTGTATCTCTCTCTCACATACACACACAGACACAACCCTACCTCACACACACACTCACTCATCTTCCCTCTCCTTGGTTTTGCCGGTTTTTGTCTCACTCTCTTCCTGTCTCCACCTTTCTGTCTTCATCTCTCTCACCCTCAATCAATCAGCAATCATTTATAAAACACTAAACTCTGTGTCTCAGTTTCTCTCTCCCTAATTTCACTCTCTGGTTCTCCTTTTCTTTAACCCTTTGCTTCTCTGGCTCTGCCTCCATTTCTCCCTCACTTACTCTCCCCATCTTTTAGGCACCTTGTCCCCAATACCCACCATATGAGACCCACACTCACCCTCACAGTCAGGTGTGCCCATAGGTGCATCAGAACAAGGCCAGCACACAAACGTTATGGGCCTTCTGGGGTAATAAAACCTGCAGGAAAACAAAGGTGGTCTCAAACCTAGATTCAGCTCCACATCCCCACCTCAAACCCAGCAGTCCCCTCTGACCTACCCCTTATGTGAACCCCTAGGACTTCCCATTCTCAGCCTTCCCAGAGACCTCAACCCCACACCCCAGGGTGCTTTTTCAAAACCAGAAGTGGAATGAGCTGCCCAGATAGAGAGTGAGCTCCCCGTTTCTGGAGACCAAGAATGCTGAAAAGAGGAATTTTTGTCCAAGTAGGCATTGGATTAGCTGATCTTTGGGGTCCCTTTCTAAGTCTGGGATGCTGTGAAATCACTTCCCATCTCTGAATCTTACTAGCCCCCATCAATGAAATGGGAATAAGAATGAGGACATGGGGCGGATGTGATGAAAGAGTCTTGTAAACAATTAAACAGCCTCAGAAATTATTTTCGGCAAAAAAGTGACTCCTCCAACATGGCCATACTGGGGGATCAAGGGCCTTCAGAACATACAGTGGGAGTGAGAATTCCTGGGCTCTTGTTTCCAGTTTGGCTGGATGGCCTGGGCACACTTCTACACTCTCCCTGAGCCCTGGGTTCCCCCTTATGGGAGAAGCAGCAACCCTCAGTCAGTGAGGCTCCAAGACAACCCCAAATTCTTCATCCTGTCCCAACCTTCTCCTCTCCTTTCCCCAGTGCCTAACAGAGATCTGAATGGAGTGATGCCTAAGTCACTAAGATTTCTCTTCTGAAACTGATGAGTTTGAGAGATGTGACCCATAGAACAGAGAATGTCCAAGCATAGGAATCTTAGAACACAGAACCAAGAATATCAGAGCTGGAAGGGACCTTAGAACATGTCAGGATACCAGGACGACCAGAAAGGGCCTTAGAGATCATCTAGTCCAATGTCTTAATTTTACTGATAAGGAAACTGAGGCCGAGACCCAGTGACCCTAGGCTGAGGATCAATATTCTTCTCAACTCCAGAGCTGAGAAGATGCTCACCCTGGAAAACAGCCACCACACTGAGCATCGCTGGTTGTGGTCCCCGCCTGGACCTCGACCCTCCACAGATGGAAACAGCCAGTGTGGGGTATGCAGGGGCTTCGTCCCAGGCTTGTCGAAAAGGTGCCTGGCCTGCAGGCACGGCACACAGTACCCAGTCCCAGTCCAGAACCACATTCCTAGGTGAGGAAATCAATCAACAAGCATTTATTAAGTGCTTACTGTGGGCCAGCTACTAAGGATACAGAGACAAAAAGGAAAAAATTTCTTTGCCCAAGGAACCACCATTTGAATGTGGGATGCAGGATGTACATTTACATATACACAAATAAATACAAGGTAGTTTTAGGAGGTGGCCACTAGCAGCTGAGGACAATCAAGGGATGCTTCATGGGAGGTTTCCTGCTCGAGCCGAGAAAGGAAGGATGTCTGGGTCCTGCAGGGGCAATCACAGTCAAAGCCATCCCATAGCCACAAAAAGCTACCCTCCCTCTATTCCCTATCCTTTCTGCCCTTATGCGACAGCTCCCAAAAGGCCACCTTCTCCAAGAAGCCACTTTGGATTAGTCCTGACCATTCTCCAGTCTATCAGTTTAGGCCAGGGGTCTCTGAGGACAGGTGCCAAATGTCCCCTCTCAGACCCACCCAGCCTTATAGCTCCCCTCCTCCTTGAAAGCAGGGGCTCCGTGAGGACAGGGGTCATGCATGTCTCCTCCTTCAGGGCAGGTGCTCCTGGGAGCTAGGCATGGGCTCACCTGATTGGGCTCCTCTCCCGGTGGGCATGTGGGGCACACAGCACAATCGCCCGCCTCTGTCTGGTACTCGGAGTCCTGGCAGGACAGGGAGGACGACTGAGGCCCTCTGAGTAGCTGAGAGAGAAGGGATGAAGGGGAGGCTGGCACCAGCAGACACTGAGACGGGAGCAGGCACCAATCCAACTCCCAGCCTATACCCAGCGGGCGTTGCCACCACCAATCTTCCCTGCCCTCTCCCAGAATCCTCTGTGCTGAGATGGAAGGGGAATGGGTGAGGACTGATAGCAGAGTGCAGAAAATAGAACACTGGATGGCTAGGAGCTGAGCTCTTAGTCTCAGCTCTGCCACTGACCCATTAACTTAAGTTGGGCAGGTCTGTCCCTCTCTCTGGGTCTCAGTTTCCTAATTTGTAAAAAAAAGGGTTAAACCAGATGATCTCTAAGAGCCTCTCTTCCAGCTCTGACATTCTCTTATAAAGCTCCTCCCAGTTCTGATGTTCTATGTTCTAAGACCCCTCCCAAGTCTCTCATTCTGGGTTTTTTTTTTCCTTTAAAGCAAAGGCATTTAAAAAAAAAACAACTAAAGAAAAATAGCAAATGACCATTTCCCCCCATAAACTGAGGGAATATTTTACCATAAGTACACAAACCAACAGTAGGGCAGCAGAGGGAACCCCATCTTCAGAGTCAGAGGACTCAGTTTCAAATCTCACCTCTAGAACTTACTGTCCACGTGACCTTCAGGTAAATTTGGCATTCTATGTTCTAAGGCCCACTTAGTTCAGCACTATGTTCTAAGGGGCCTGCCAGCATAGTCAGTCTATGACTCTTTAAGGGAGAGATGGATGAACTGGGATTCAGATCCTGGGGCTCTGCATTCCTACCTCCTTGGCCCATTGAGGCTTCTACCTCTTCCAGACAGAAGCCCAGGACTTTTCTCATCTATACAGGAATGCTGGGAAAGAAGACTCGAGAGAGATCCCATTCAATCTATCTGGTTCCTGAGACTATACCCCAACCTTTACAGATCCTCCAACACAGGAAGTCCCAAGGAAATCCCAGGAGACTATGGGTCCCAAGACAGTCTGCCCCTCCCTCCCCACTGCCCACACTGAGCCTATGTAAAGGGAGGCCAAGCTGAGCACCATTACTGGACTGGTCAATGTCTGCCCATCCCGTTGCCTTATGAAGCTACCTTTTTAGAGGGATTTCTAAGTCCTTTATAAGTAATATTGTCAGGACGGGTGAGAGAAGAACAGGAATTGTGATTTGGACCTTAGTGTCTTGGATTCTAGTCTAAGACCCCAGTTATGGGGACAGACTTAATATACCCTACCCCCTATAGATTATATATATAGATTATATACATATACATGCATATATATACATACATATATATATATATATATATACACTCTTCCTAATATCCTATGCCTTCCCAGAATGACCCTACCCATTCTGATTCCTGTTGTGCATGGCATGCCCCCAGCCAGTGTAGATGCTATCTACTCTGTTATTAATTTGGACTTGTTCATTTATCCTGGTTGTAAGTGGCTATTTCTTGGGTGTGAATCTCATTTACTCTCCTCAGATCATGTGATCTCAGAGAAAAACTCTCATAGGGGAAGTAAAAGCTAGGAAATAAGAGAACCCCAAAGTCCAGGTACCCAGGTCCAGGGAGAGGACCTAGCCCCCATCTCCATCTGTGTTTCCAAGACAACCTCATCCTTGGTTATAGGAATGGAAGGAGTAGGGTTTCAAGAAAGACTGATCTACTCTGAGAGACTTCTCAGGGTCTCTTCCCTGTTGCTTGCTCTCTCTCTCTCTCTCTCTCTCTCTCTCTCTCTCTCTTTCCCTTCCTCCCTCCCTCTCCCTCCCCTCACTCTTTCTCTCCTTTCCTCCCTCTTCTTCTTTCCATATGATGAAAAGAGCCTTGGGTTGGGAGTTAGAAGACCTGAGTTCTCATCCAACCTCTTTCCCTTCCCCTCTCTGGACCTCAGTTTCTTCTATCATAAAATAGAAAGGCTGGCCTCCATTAATTAGGAGATACCTTTAAGATTTAAAACAGTAAGGTTCTAAGGCTCTCTATTTCTAAGATTCTAAAGGCTTGACAGTCTAAGGTTTCATACTTCTATCTCCTCTTCCCTTTTTGCTCAGTTTCTTCTTCCTTCTTCTCTCCTCATCCCATCTCTCTTCTCCCAATTCAATGCTATATGGTGCTCTCAGTGCCGGATGAGAGACAGGCAAGTACCCTCAGCAATGACCTTTCTCACTCCAGGGCCAGGCTCCCTCTACCCACTACTCACCCTCTCAGCACTGATTACCCTCTTGCCTCCTCCTCTTTCTTACCAGCCTCGCCCAGCCCAGCCCAGCCCCGCCCACAGGAGGCCCAGGTCAACAGGAAGAGAAGCCCTAAGAAGACTGTCTGCATCATCTTCTCCATGTCCCTGCCTATCCCTGAGCTGGCCTTAGGTCCGACAGAGGCAAGATAAGCAGGAGGTTGCCACAGCCTGGGGACCCATCACCCATACCCAGGAGAATGTCATCTATCTGTGATCCCTCACAGTCTTTACTATTCATGGCATAGTGGAGGTAGGAGGGATGTAGAAAACTTCAGAGTCGATGTCACTATTGTGAGCAGATCCAGGGACCTGGGCGTGGCTAAGTGACCTAGGCCAGGGCAGAGGGCCCTTGAGATCTCTCCCAATCCCCCAGGAATCTCCACACACCCCGCCCCCCCAGCCTTCAACCACCAGGAGGCCCCCTAGGTGCTCCCTTCCCTGGCCCCAGCTTCACCCACCCCAACTCACAGTGAGGAAGCAGGTAAGGGACCAGCACAGTCTCGGCCACTTCATCCTCAGAATACCCTGGGGCTGGGCCAGCTGACCTGAGGACAGAGGAGAGGAAGCTGGGAATCAGGGCAGGCAGGAGCAGCCAGGGAAGAAGAAGCCCCACTTGTCCACCCAAGTCAACAAGGTTCACAACGCAGCTTTACTATTTAACAGCTGTGTGACCCTGGGCAAGTCTGTCTCTTCCTCCGGGCCTCTTTCCTTCTCACCAGATGACCTCTTAGGTCTCTCTCCAGCTCTAAATCTGTAACAAGCTTGTCGGGAGTATTCCTATGATCCTGGACGCTGCGGGGCGTGGAGAGGCCAGCGCTGAGACCTGGAGATCCTGAAGGTCCTGGTTCAAGTCTGGGCCCTGTCACTCATTGGCTGTGCTACCTGGGGCAAGAACCTTCCCCTCTCTGGGCTTCAGTTTCCCCTTCTGTCAAATGAGGGGGTTGGATGAGAGTTGGAAAGGACCTCAGAGGCCGTCTGTCTAAGCCAACCCCCTCATTTGACAGATGATAATAACAATAACAACTAGCATTTATATGGCCCAGGAATTCCTAACCCTATTTGTATTATTGGACCCCTCTGGCAGCCTGGTGCAGCCTATGGACCCCTCTCAGAAGGTTTTTAAATTCACAAAACAAAATATATAGGATTATAAAAGAAACTAATTATACTGAAATAGTTATCATAATATTAAAAATGTATGGAATATTAATTATACTTAATTAGCTTATTTAATTATATATTAAATATATGCATAATATTATAAAAACACAAGTTCACAGACCCCAGATTAATAGTCCTTGATATAGCACCTTAAGGTTTGCAAAGTGATTTACATGTGCTATCTTGTTTGATGAGCTCTAAGCTACTATCCTGATCAGGACAGAATGCCCGGCCTAGAGTCATGAAGACCTGAGTTCCAGTCCAGCTTCACTTACCAGCAGTGTGACCCTGGGCAAGTCACTTAACCCTGTTTGCCTCAGTTTCCTCATCTGTAAAAATGAGCTGGAGAAGGAAATAGCAAATCCCTCCAGCATCCGCCAAGAAAACCCCGAATGGAGTTGGACTCACTGAACAAAAGCTGTGTGATACCTAATTTGCTGTGTGGCTTGGAACACGTTCACCCCAGCCCCAGGACCTCTTTCTTCCTCTGGAGGATGACTCCCCATTCAGAGCTCCTTTTGGCCGTGAACCCAGTTGCTTCCCTGGAAATGATGGACTGTGAGGATTGATGGGGGAATGGGAGTCTGGTCCCAAAGGGAACAATCTTAGTAACAAGGAGGGAGAGGCGTACGGAGGAAGATAACAGAGGAGGCTGGGAAGTAACCAGACAAACCGATGACTCCAATTTACCAGGCATCCTGTCTGGGTCCTCAGCTGCCCTCCAAACAGCTCTCAGTCACGTTTGAGTTCCAGGCCTGCTACCGAGCCTGCATGTAATCTTGACCAAATCACTCCCCCTCTTTGGGTCTCAGTTTCCCCATTGCAAGATAGGGAAGTTGGGGCTAAACATAGAACCACATGGCATCATGGTATAGTAGAGAAAAGGTTGGAATTAGAAGATCCAGGTTCAAATCTCACTTCAGATGATTAATAACTAATTGTGTAACCCTGGACAAGTGATTTAACTCCCACTGGATCTCATTTTCCTTATCTGTAAAATGACATGGTTGGGTTCAAAGATCTTTAAAAGCCCTCCCAGCTCTAAATCTATGATTCTATGACAACTAGATAGATAGATGATATAGATAGAGTATTTATTAAGCACTTACTGTACGCCAGAAACCATACCTAGACATTTTTGTATTTGTGGTAAGAGACATGAAATGCAAAAGGGAGGGAAAGACCCCAGGACACCCCAGGTTAAGCACTACTTAGGTGGCTTTGGGTGAGTAGGTGGGGTAGAGCTAGACTTAAGGAGCAGTCAGCTGGGGTATGGCCACCCAGAGATACCTCAAGGCCTCTGTTGGGGAATCCACTACTGAGGTTGAGAAGCCAGGTCAAGTTAGAAAGCTTACCTGGGGTGCAGCAGAGAGATTATGGAGAAAGGAAACACACTATCTAGTTTTGTTTTTTTATTCTTGCTAACTAGGTCCTAAGCTGCTTAGGAGTATAATGTTGTTAGCACTCTGAATTTTGGCACCCTAGGACAAAGCCCCAGTGGCTCTGCCCTAGTTATGGGCCTGACCAGATGAGCTTGGTCTCTTCCAGCTTTGACAAGCTCTGTTCCATCTCTGGCCCTGGATATCTCTGGATCTTTTATTCACTAATGAGGTAGAAGAGTCTCCTTGTTTATCTATGATTAGTCCAGGCTGTCCTAGTTGTCTGCCATGCAGGCCCAGAGCTGGAGCTCAGGCTCCCAGGATAGGGCCAGAAGGGGATAGCGGCGTGATGACAAAGAAGCAGCCTGGATTTGGAGTCAGAAGACTTGGCTGGAGGCCCAGTTCCGCTGGGTGACATAAAGTGGGTCCCTACCACTTCTTAGCGGGACACCTTCAACAAGTCCCTTCACCTCTCTGGGCCTCAGCACCCCAGCCTCAAATGCAAAAACTGGACTAGATCTCCCAGATCCCTTCCAGGCCCCAGAGCTCCTCCTCTTCAAAGCTTGGCCTGCTCCAGGGGCTCCTTACTGCCTGAGGTGACCTCCAACCATGCGAAGGAACCTCAGCTCCAGGGGCCGGAAAAACCGAGCCAGGCGGCAACTTGATCCTTCATTGTCCCAGCCAGGCCCCACAAGTACCCTGGGCCTAGCCTGTGGTTCAGGTTACACCTCGTGGTGGGAGGGGAGGGAGATCAGCCCAGTTCCTGAAGGGGGTTTCCAGATGCCGGCTGAAGCCAGATTCTTCCTTCCCCACTCCCTGCCTACATCTGGAAGGCAAAGGTAGAGGGGGCTGCCTCTATTGCAGTCTCCAAACACAGCAGGAAGGACTGAGTTAGACTCTGGAAAGGACTTCCTAAGGGAGAAATAGTAGCTCCAAAGGCCACAGAGACTATAAACAGAGACCTACTCACCTAGAACCTTTTAATTAGCCTGTAAATGTGTATTTATGACCACAGTCTGCTCCACTTATTATAGACCATCTTACCCTATTATCCCAGCCCACACTTCCTGCCTAATGAAGCCTCATGTTCCACTCCTCCATCCAGGATGGGGCTTTTGTCCACGTCAAACACTGCTGCCCGAATGGTCTGCGCCCATGGCTGCTCACTGCAGAGTGCTACACTTTATATAAAGCCTGTTGGCTGGCTCACAAAGCCTAGAATTGTTTGCAGAGCCTGGAACTGTTTGCGGGACCTAGCATTATTCCAAGAGCCTACTGACCCTGTGCAAGACCTCAAGGCCAATACTAGAAGAGTCTTGGACTATTCTCAGAGCCTGAGGCCTGGAACTGTTTGCCTGCTTGGCTGCTATAGACTCTAGAATCATTCTTAGGGCCGATATGGCCATTTGCAAAACTCCTGCCTATTCAGCCACCCTCCCTCAATCTCCTCACAGACCCTGGATTCAGAAGCCTCAGGTGCTCTCTGAGCAAACAAAGAAATCCTAGTGCTCCGCATACTTGGTGGAGTGGGCCTCTCTCCTTTGAAACAAGCCAGGCCCTTCTGGCCTCCCTTCAAACCACCCTCCCCAGAGAAATGCTCTGCTACCCCATCTGCACTTCTACTCAGTCCTCTCTCTTTCGTGCACTCTTATCTCACCTCTGCCTCTGAGGAGGCCTTGTTTCCTTCAGCTCTGCTCCCACAACCCCTTCCTACACGAAGCCTTTCATGATTTATGCCAGCTGCAAGGGCCCTCCCCCCTCAAAAAAATACATATTGTAAATGTTTATATTGTATATATAGTATATTGTATTTTTTATATTGTATAAGATATACACAACACTTTATATTATATATATTGTGTGGGTGTATACATACACACAATATGTATTTTATGCATATATACTATAAATACATATTTATGTATATTACTTCCCTGCCCCCCACCCAAAATGGAAGTTCCTTAAGGGAAGGGACACTTTATCGATTTTGTCTTTGTGTTCCCAGTGCTTAGTATAGTGCCTGGCACATAGTAGGTGCTTAATAAATGCTTATTGCTTGACTGATGAGGCCATGGTTTTCTCTCAGACTAGGGGCTTTCTATGAGAAAAGGCCATATATCTTCTGGGAGGGGACAGGGTGCTGCATAAAACCAGAATCAGAGTGTAAAGGGGACTGATGAATCATTTAGTTCAATCCTGATATTTTCCAAAGGAGGATTCAGGGGTCCCAAGAGGAGAAAGGGCTAGCTCAGGATCACATAGCAAGTCAGTGGCAAAGGACTTGAACCCAAGTCCCCCAGGGGTGTCAAATTTAGGGTCTGTAAAATTCTCCAGTGCAGACAGAATCAGACTAAAATATAACTGGGAAATGTTTAACAAAACAAATAAAATAAAAATATATAATACAATACAATAATAATATACTAACAAAATACAAAATACAAAAATAAATACACAACATAGGTAATGTTAATTTATGGTTTTCTACATCGATATGCCAACTGCAGGGATCAGTTTCTACTTGAAGTAGATTTGGGGGTGGGGGGAAGACCCCTATCTAGACCCCTATCTAGAACACTGGCTTCACATTTTAGGAAGGTCACTGACCAATGAAAGCAAGACCAGAGGAGGATGACCTATATGGAGAAAGCACTAGAAGTCAGCGCCAAATGAAGATTATCAGCTGGAGATGTTGAGTATCACAACACAGGGCTGGGAGCAAGTGGGGAACAACTGCAGAGAGACAGTTTCCAGTGCATCGAAAACATTCCTAGGATTCACCAGTGGAAACGTACAATGAGCTGTCTCGGAAGATAGTGAGCTCCCTGTAACTAGAGTTCTGCAAGCAAAAGCTTCATGAACACTTCATAGAGATCAGAGGATCATAGAGCTAGACCTGGAAAGAAATTTTGAGGCCATAGTCTGAGCCCCCTTATTTTACAGATGAGGAAACTGAGGCTCAGACCACGAATGAGGCCATTAATATTTGTTGAATTGAATTGAGTCCCACATTCATCATCATCCAATATTTCAACAAGTGAGGTAGGAGAGTCCTGGACTTAGGAGGTGGTGGGGCGGTTCAGGAAACCAGGATTCTAGTCTTCCACTGACTCACTTTGGGACCACAGGCAAGACCCTTCCTCTCTTGGCCTTCATTTCCACCTCTAAGAGATGGAGGACTCATAGGATCACAGGCCTAGAACAGGAGGGACCTTAGAGGTGATTCTAGTTCAACTAAAGCCATACAACTAGTTAATGATAGAGCTGATTCAGAATTAGGTTGCCTGATTCAAAATCTAGCCCTTTTCCCACTGCCCCTTTCCTGCTGCCTCAGACAGAGGACCTGGGCTTAAATCCTAACTCTGTCATTGACTGACCCTGGTCAAGTCCCTGACTCTGTTTCCTCCCCTCCAAAATGAGAGCGTGGCCACCAGATGCTGTGTCATCTTCCTTGCAGCTCTTGGGAGGGATGGTTTACCTCTGGTCAGGGCAGCTCATAGGTTTCTAGAGTTAGCTTGGCACCCTCCCTCCCCAACCCAGATTGCTTTCTCCTCTAGGAACTGGGTGGGGATTTTAAACTTCTGAGAAAAGAGGAGGAAGGAAATGAAAGTACTTGGACAGGGGAAGGGGGGAGGAAGGGTTGGGCAGTCAGGGGCCCAGGTTCTACTCCCTCATTGGGCCTGAAGAGCCCAGCAGTGACTTGTGTGGAGGAAGAGATGGGGCCCTAATCATTGTGCTGCCCCCGCCAAACAAGTGTTCTTCAAGAAAGCCAGAAGTCATTTGCTGATTACCCAATGTTTGGGGTGATCTGGATCACTGTTCCTTTCCCCTAAGCACCATGTGGCATATGGCAGATGGCCAGTAAAAGGGCCCTCTGAAGAGCAGGAAGGGTGACAGAGGCCTGACATTAAGGGCTCTCCACGATCAAGTGCCACCCTAACTTTCCAGCCTTCTCTCATACCATTCTCCTCCAGGAATTCTATAGTTCCACTAAACTAGACCATTCTAGGTCCTCCAAGCTTGCCCTGTACATTTCTGCTTCCATGATTTTGTTCTTGATGCCTGGAATAACCTCTTTCCCCTTTTGCACCTTCTGAATTCCTACCTCTCCTTTAAATCCAACTTAAATGCTACCTCTTCTGAGAAGTTTTCTGTCATCTTCCAGTGGTACAGTGGATTTGAATTCAGAGCACCCAGATTCAATCCTCCTGTTACTACTTAGCATAAGCCTTTTCTAGAATCTGGACCTCAGTTTCCTCATCTCTAAATGAGAGGGTTGGATGAGATAGCTAAACCCTGTCTTAGTTCTGACTTTCTGTGCTCTATGTTCTAAGGCCTAAATCTAATTCTGTAATTCTCTGACCTCACATAGTACTTTGTCAACACTTTTGCTATACACTTATCAGGTAACATTGTGATTTCAATGTTCTGTGTTGGTATCTTAAACCCTTCCAAGACTGAAGCTCCTTGAGAGTAGGGACTATGTCATATTTAAACTTTGTATCTCCCCAGCTCAAAGCACCATTAATAAGGCTATTAAT